AAAACATTGGTGCATGACGCAGTACCTTCCAAATTTCAATATAATACGATAAACACAATTGGGAAATATCAACTAAAAATCGTATGTATTAACTCTGAATCTATTGTAAACAAAATAAATTGTATCGAAATATTAGTTTAAACTGAAAGTCTGGATTTACTATGTATATCCGAATCATGTGTAATGACAATAATATAAATTCGTTTTATCTTCCTAATGCTCTCTTGTAATGATTCGTAATACTTTTTTGATTATTTTTTAGGTTATTACATTTTTATATTTATAGATCTGGATCAATCTGGATCAAAGAGAACAAAAAGAAAACAAAAACAAATAATATACGATTCAACGGCTGAAGAGGTAAACCAAGTAAAAAAAAAAACATTAAAACATAATTTTCTTTTTCAATCCTAACCCCCGAAGAGAGCGTAGTGGTCATCGTGATGTCGTGTATTGTCTGTCTTCGGAGATCTCTGTCTCTGGTCATTTCTTTTAGCTCATGCGTAGGTCTTTTGCATATACCTATTATTTGATCGATTCATCTTTTTGGGAATCTTCCTCGTGATCTTCGGCCTTCTACCCTTCCTTGGATAACACGTATTCCCAGATTTTCTGTGTCTACTCTCACAACATAAAGCAAATAATAAACAAGTAGAATAATGAGAAATATTTCTGCTGAGAGAAATATTAATAGAAGAAGAAGATAGAAAACTTGTCTAAAACCATATATTTTAATAAATTTTATCTGAATATAGTTACTACACTTTAGATTTAGAAAATTTTAATTTTAATAAAAAACAGATATACATAAATGTAAATAAGTTTTTACAGGATACAACTACCAATCTATAATTACTCTCCTGGCCCACTTTATGGACGACTTTGACATTAAGCATCTAAAAAACATCATTGAACAAAAGATATTATATATCGTTCACCCTGTATGGTACAATGATTCTAATAATCTAAAAAGGTTATGACTCGATTGGTTAAGAACTGGCTTATTCCCAATGCCAACCAATTACATACCTGCACAAATATACGCTTTCTGAATACATGAATATATATTCAGGATAAGCCTTAAAGTTTTCAGTCACCTTCGCGTAATGACGCACTCAAATAAAATTCCGAACCAATATGTCACCATTCTAGTATTTTTCATAAACAGTAAAACTTTTCGGACTTAAAATAATACCACTTAATGACTATATTCTCTGTCCACTATTGCAAAATTTGTGTACTTACGGTCACGTCACAGGATATAAGCTAATCGAAAACTGGCCGCTTGTTGCAACTAACTAACAGTTAGCTCTCGCCACATTAGTTCATAGATACCCTAATAACTACTTGATTATAAATAATTTGCTTTCTAAGATTATTTGAGCCTATGTCCCTGTCTGCTACCATTTTCAGTATCTGTTGACTTTTGTCAACATATTCAAGGATTATTGCCGGTGGTTTTGACGATGTTATTATGGCTTCTGTTGTTTTTTATTCAGTAGTTGTTTTATCTACTGTTTTTTATGTTGAGGTTGTCGGTTTAGCTATTGATTTCTCAGTTAATGTCTTTACTATTTTTCCTTTTTCCTCTCTTTTTTTTTGGGTCTCGTCGATTTCTTTCCCTTTGCGTTTTTGGATTATTAGGGTTTCATTTTTACGCTAATCGATGGCATTTTCTCGACCTTTTCGGTCGGTTTTTTATTGGGCTTTTCATTTTTCCTTATTTCATTCTTTGTTTTATTTTATTGGTATGGTATCCACATCGGATCCACCGCGGGGCTCCTGGCGAGTTTGGTCCGGAATTTGGCGGGAATTTTCTGCTGCTGCTGCTGGTGCATTTTTTATTTCGAAACTGGTACAATGTTGTTCATATATCATCTAGTATGGTGATGGATACTTTATGGAGTGATGGAAACCACATCAAAAAAATTTGGATACGCAGACGACTGGACGCTTGCCGCAAGTCATAAAGAATTCGAGGTCACTGAACGCATTCTAACAAACGATTTAAATGTCCTAGGAAATTAATTCCGCAAATGGAGATTGCAACCCAATTCAACTAAAACAGAAGTGTCCTGCTTCCATTTATACAACAAGATGGCTAACTATCAACCTCAAATCAATTTTGGGGATAGACTCCTTAAATATAATAAACACCCAAAATACTTGGGTGTTACACTTGACAGAACGCTGAACTTTAAAGAGCATCTTACTAAGACTGCTGCAAACCTCCGAACTCGTAACAACATCCTGCAAAAGCTCTGCGGCACTACATGGGGGTCCTCAGCACCCACACTTAGATCGACAGCATTAGGACTGGTATACCCCGTAGCAGAATACTGTGCACCAGTATGGATAAACAGTCCACATACTCACCATGTTGATGTCCAACTCAACCAAGCCATGCGAACTATATCGGGCACAATCAAGGCCACGCCCACTTACTGGTTACCAGCTTTGAGTCATATAGCTCCACCACCCATCCGCCGGGAACATGCCCTTGTCAGAGAATTTACAAAAATCAATACTGATCCTGAGCTCCGCTCCCATGTCGGAACTTCCGCCAGAGACATAAATAGGCTCCGTTCAAGACACCCGCCTCTAAAAACAGCAAAAAGGCTAGTAGATCAAAACTTTAATGTAACTGAACGGTGGAGAGAACAATGGGAGAATAACGCTGCACCAGTTAACTGGAACATGCCATGTATTACAAGCAAACTTGAGGGCTTCAACCAACCGAGACGAATTTGAACCACACTCAATAGAATAAGGACGAACTGTGGCAGATGTTCCGACTCACTTTTTAGATGGGGAAAAATACAATCACCAAATTGTTACTGCGGCGCCGAAAGGCAAACAGTAAAACACATGGTAGAGGAATGCCCGATTAGATCCTATAATGGCAACCCTTCAGATTTCCTGGCTGCTACAAAAGAGTCAATCGAATATATTTATAATCTAGATGTTTGTTTGTAGAATAATATTTTTATATTTACTGTTGTTTGTAATTTATATAATTTATATTTATATATTTATATTTATATGAACCTGTGATGTAGCCATACGCTAAATAAAATAAATAAATAAATGGATACTTTACGACATTTCAATTTAAATTTCCAGTATGTAGTTGCCATTTTCCATTTATTTCTTCGGCTCAGAAGATTCCTTATTCAAAAGGTAAGATCGCCATGTAATAAATAACGCTTCACTTATGGTATCGTATCAGCAGTCATTCATTAGTGGGTCAAGTTTGTTTTATCCACCTATGACATAAATACGGTCTTGATTCGCAATTCTGCTGACTTACACATTCTAATCGAGGCTATTTTATGAATGTCCTCGATTCGAATTATTAAACATATTTTATATAAACAAATGCGAAACTATGTTACACGTTCATTTTAACTTATTATTTTTTAAGAATTGTAATATTTTAGAGATAATACCACACTGGCTTCCCATTCATCGTCTTCTTAAGTTTCCGTGCTTTCAGATTTTTAAGGCTTGTCATCATCGCTCGAAGGGTTGTTTTTTTTTCTTTTCAGCTTGTTTTGGTTTTTCGTGTACTTGTGATATTGAAGACAGGGCGGGTATTATTATTGTCATGATATGGTTCACTATTTAATTTCTTAATCCTTTGCTTTGTTTTTCTTTCTTAGCTCAGTTATCTGAGATAGAAGGTCTTCTATTTGCTTGTTGGCTTTTTCTTTCCGGAGCTTGCTTGCTATCTTCGTGGCCTTTATTTGCTCGGCCAGTACATTACCTGATCGAGTTAGGTCGTTTTTGATCTCTTTATTATCCATCCCTTTGGTCCTTTTCATGTTTTCCTCCTCAGAGTCAGAGCAGTCTTCTTTGGGACGTTGCCTTTTCCGTTTTTCCCAGCATCCTCTGTCATTTACTTGTCTTTTTATTCTGTAAATGGTAAATTCAACAAAAGTGTTACTGGAATATTGAGACAACTGACCACAAAACTTTTTTATTTTTTGTGTCCGTTTGACCACTGTCAAACGTATTCTCACTATCGTTCCAGGGCCCTTTACGGATGCTCACTCCCTGTGTGCGCAGCGAGGTTTCCTCTTGACGGTTCTTACTGTAAATACAGGAGCCGTTTCTATCCGATTTTGTCAAATATCAAAACCTTACAGTGTCTATCCTTCCGACGTCATGCAGTTTTACCTATATCTTCGCTGTGACAAGTAGCAAAAATCTCCTAGAGAAGTCGATTAAAATAACTTTATTCGATTTAATTGGAGCTAGCGTCGCACTAGCTCTTCGGCTAATTAATTTTTAACTGCTACGTTTGGCGACTTACAGTTCACTGAGATCCGACATGATCCCTATCTGCAGGTAATATCCAACCGCTTAGGCACGTCTGCTCTGCTTGATCCTCGGACATCAAGTTAATGACACTCTTTTGGATTAAACTGCTCTCTTTTTATGGCAACACGTGTTTTAAAGCATATTGCAAAAAACAATTCAGATGCATCACTCGAATCACAAATTCTTTTATGGTCTAGTTATTTCAAAGACCTTTTCAGTGGTGCAGCCACTCAAAAGAAAATGGAAAAACTCTTTTCACAACTTTCTTCATTGTTACAACATGCATAGTTTCTTTCTACATAAAATACATTCTAACAATGTAGAATTTATAAATCAACCCCATTAATCCATATTCTCAAGTAAATCTACACTTAGAAAATTCATCTCCTAAATTGTTAGGTATTAAATGGTCTTGACAGAAAATTCATTTTCTTTTTCTCCTTCTTGTATGGATTTTGAGCCACCACTCACGATAAAAACAAATCATAGGTGTGAATTCACGAGGTTTTGATCTTCTTTGACTAATTATTGGTTAAAATTTTCTAGAAAATTTAAAAATTAATTATTCTTCTTTTTAATTAATTCCTCTCACAGCGAATGGTGAATTACGTACATCATAAATCTCATTAGTTACAATCAGTCATCAGTTACATTTATTAATGTCATAAAAAAGAATCTTAAAAATTAAATACTTGAATTTTTCTGGCTAATAAACATTTATAAGGATGCAATGTGTTTTGGCACAGATGTTGCAGTTCATAACTAATCTTAAAAATAGAAGATCTTATTGTTGTAACTCTGTCGAAGAGATCTGTAAATCCACAATCATTATTCAATACCTACAAATTAGGCAATCTCTCAGCAAATTTTAGAATTAAAAATCATTAAACCACTTACGAATAAAAAGTTCAGATCATTAAACCCCGTTTATAACCTGTATCTGCCATATGAATATAATATAGATCTTCCATAAGCTGCGTGGGAGATTTCGTTAAGAGTCTGTAATCTTGACAAAGTTGTGAATATTGTTTTGAAGCTATTTTCTTGCGGCATTGTAAATTAATTACTATTAAACTGGGAATAAGCCACAATTAAAGATAAAAATACGTTTATTGACGTTTCAGTTTCCACTTCGGAAATCGTTCTTCTTCGTTTGTATTTTGAGAACGATTTCCGAAGTGGAAATTGAAACGTCAATAAACTTATTTTTATCTTTAATTGTGGCTTATTCCCAGTTTAATAGTAATTAATTTACAATGCCGCAAGAAAATAGCTTCAGAACAATATTCACAACTTTGTCAAGATTACAGACTCTTAACGAAATCTCCCACGCAGCTTATGGAAGATCTATATTATATTCATATGGCAGATACACTATCTTTTCAGTATTTTTTAGTAGATTATGGAGAATATTTTCATATCAAATCGTCTTACCTTCATAAAGCTCTCGTATATAGAGTTTATATTGTATTTTTCATATGTACTACTACTAAATGTGTTCATTTGGAGTTAATAACTGATCTTACTGCCGAAGCTTATATAACATGTCTGATGTGGTAAATACAAAACAACTTCTAAAAGTGGACTGTAATTATACAGAGTGGTCCTTAAGTAATTGTACAAAACGAAACAGTAGATTATACACTTTAAAATATTACGATTTAAACCAAGTTGTTTTAATAAAATGTTGATATTAAGTGTTAAAGACAGTTTTATTTATATTTTAATCATCGAGCAAAAAGATAAAAGAGGGAATGTAAAGGTAGTGGGAACAAAAATATTGTTAGACAGGAAGTGCTATCTTGAGAGGCCACTTTAAACAAGGAAAGACAGTCTCTTTCCTTGTTTGAGAAGTCAAATTTAGTTTAGTTATGTTATTGTTTGTCCCAACTGTCACATGAAATTTTATTTATATTGAAGTTTTTTACCAATTGTGTCACTTTTTAGACTATTATCATTAATATTTAATTAAAACTTTCTCGTCTGGAAAATATTTTATAGCTACTGTTAATAAGTGTTGGAAAATTTAAATTTAGCGCCTTTGCATTTCCGGATATGTCCGCCATCAGAGGCCACTTTTTTGGTCTCCTTTTCATAACGATTAGATTCCCTCTTTTATCTTTTTGCTCGATGATTTTAATATAGACGCGGCAACCGCGCACCGCGAGTTTTGTACGTCGGTTTTGGTTTTCAACAACAGTCGTTGAGAACAACATTCATTGTAAATTCGAAAGTCAGACAATAAAGATATGTTTCTATAATTCCTAGTCAATTCAATTCAATCCAACTACGTCGATGGTAAAATCCCACATAGCGGGAAGTAAAACAAACATAACATTCGGTCCTTCGTAGCCACATAACCAGTAAACTGTGGAAATCTTAGTAAAATCCATTAATTACTCAAATTAGTATTAAAAACATCGAAAGTGATATGCCGGCAAGAAGCCACAACTCGCGCCATTGAAATCCAGAATCTACGAACGTTACTCAATTGCAGTCGCCCAACCATATATTGTAGAACAAGAAGCGACGTTCAATCAAGTTCAGTGCTGGACGAATGTACAGTGAACCAGTCAAGGTGGAGAGACAGAGCTCATAGCGAGAACCATACATTTTAAATTTGAGTTTTTCATATTCCTGTACTTTTCCATTTTACCGAATTATTTCAATTGTATCTTAATCGAATTCAGCACTTCTTATCATTCAAAAACAAATAAATTCTCAGAATGTAATTAATATGCCTAATGAATTCAGCTATTATTATTTTTAAATAAATAAAACGTTTGTATTTTAATTTAAAACATATTTTAAATATATTTGAGGTAATTTTGATATTGAAAGGTGTAATTATGGCGTCAAAAGGCTTAGGGAAATTATTTAAAAAACGTGAATCTCAAATTTCTAAGCTTGAGCAATTTAAAACATATTTAGACGACTTTAAACGGTTGTTAAATGGGAGTTCAGTGGCGGCGGTCGATGAGGAGGGTATAATAGAGCTAGAGTTAAGACTAGAGAGACAAGTTGTTTTGTTCCATGAGTTCGAGCAACTGCAAGAGGAGATCGAAAGTATAGAGGATCCAATTGATGATCAATTAATCAAACAACGTGATGATTTCACAAATAGTCATTATAGCCTTGCAGCCATAATCAAGAGGTATATAGGATCGTTCTATGATGCAAAAAATCAACAACTTGCCTCTCAGTCAGGGTCAATTAATAACGGAAAGGCGTCTAATCATGCAGACGACGTTTCGGTCGCGAATGTTCGCCTGCCACAGATCAGTTTACCGAAGTATTCCGGAGTGTCTAACAGCTGGTTGGAGTTTAGGGACATTTTCGATAGTCTTATATATACAAATGCATCTTTTAGCAACATTCAAAAGTACCATTATCTGCGTGCATCCTTAGAGGGCGGTGCCGCATAAGTCATTCGGTCTATAGAATTTTCAGCTAGCAATTATACAGTGGCGTGGGATACTCTATTAAATAGGTATAATAATGACAACCTATTGATACACAATCACGTCAAGGCTATATTTGACATTTCAAATATACAACAAGAATCGGCAGCTGAACTTAGACGAATGTTAGACAGCTTATCAAAACATTTGAGATCGTTACACAATTTAAACCAACCATCACAACATTGGGATACACTGTTGATATACATTTTATCCAATAAATTAGACAAAACCAACGGCCAGGGAGTGGGAAGCAAGGTCAAATGCGAAAGCCAAACGTCATCCAACAACAAAACGGTGCCACCTACTCAAGAAGAGTTTGCATCCTTTATTAGAAAGAGAGCAGATCTTTTGGAAACGCTATCCTTGACAAAGGACTCAAAAGGTAACAAGTCAAGGGTATCGTATCACATGCAAACAGGGGAAACTCAAGGTAAGGAACATAATAGACAGGTTACTTGTATTTATTGTAAACAGCGTCAACATTTTATACGGGGTTGTCCGGAGTTTCTTAACTTATCCATAGAGCACAGAACACAGGCAGTAAATAAACATCGTCTTTGCGTAAACTGTTTGCGAAACAATCACAATGTAAGGCGTTGCTTTGCAGGTCCTTGTCGAAAGTGTGGTCAACGTCATAATACGCTACTTCATGTAGAGAAAGCCAATACATCCGTAAATCATGTGTCTTCTATGTCGAATGTTCCTCAGCAATATTCTCAAGTAATAAACGAAAGTATTTCTCTACAAACTCTTTCTTATTGTCAGAAATCAAGCGAACCGAAAGTTCTTCTCTCAACAGTCCTAGTTAATGTTGAAGATAGGTTTGGAAATCTACAAATGTGTAGAGTCCTTTTAGACTCAGGGTCTCAGTCAAACTTTATAACCAGTGATACTGTCAAAAAACTAGGTTTAACCACATCTATGGTAGACATATCCGTGACAGGTATCAATCAAACTACCTCAATTATAAACCAAAAGTGTCAGGTCGCAATTCAATCTACTCAAAATTCATTTTATTTAAATCTAACTTGTCTTGTCGTACCTAAAATAAACAAAAGTTTACCAAATCATCCTATAGACACTTCAGCGTGGAATATTCCCTCCAATGTAGTTCTTGCGGACCCTACCTTTAATCAAGTTACGAAGGTTAATATGTTGATTGGAGTAGAGTATTTCTACAGCCTAATAAGCATCGGTCAAATTAAACTGGGTAAGGACTTACCTGTCCTCCAAAAAACTGTTTTTGGATGGGTGGTGTCAGGGCCAGTTCATACCGGTCAACCTCGAAATGTACATTGTCACTTAAGCACAAGTAACAGTGACGAGGATATTCATAACTCTATTCGTAAGTTTTGGGAAATTCAGGAACCGTTTTCTGATACTCCAGAATGGTCAGAAAATGAACGAAAGTGTGAAGAGATTTTCACCAAAACCACGTCTAGGGACGAAAGTGGACGTTTTGTGGTACAAATCCCTTTAAAGGACTCTCCAGTTCTTCTTGGAGAATCCAAGCAAACTGCCATAAGCCGATTGAATTCGGTAGAAAGACGTCTATCAAAAAATCCAAAGTTACAATCAATGTATACCGATTTTATGATGGAATATTATAATCTGGGTCATATGTCTAAGGTCAACAACTCGAAAGTGCCAGAGGTAGAATACTTTCTCCCTCACCATGGCGTGTTCAACGAAAGTAATCAAACGACAAAACTTAGAGTCGTTTTCGACGCCTCTTGTCGAACGACGTCCGGTCTGTCATTTAATGATATCCAACTAATAGGCCCTACAATCCAACAAGATCTTATCTCTATCTTGTTAAGATTTAGGCAATACCCAATAGTGCTTTGTGCAGATATCATTAAAATGTATCGCCAGATCCTGGTTCAGTTAAATCAACGCCCTTTACAACGTATTGTTTGGAGGGATGAGTCGACAGACAATATTCAAACATTCCAGTTAAATACGGTTACGTACGGCACTGCTTCGGCACCATGGTTAGCCGTCCGTTGCCTCAAGGAATTGGCTTCAGAAAGCTCAGTTCAATTTCCTAAAACTTCGAAGGTTATACTGGAAGACTTTTATATGGACGATGTACTCACTGGTTGTTCCACTGAAAGTGAGGCCAAACAGCTATGTGATGAGCTACACATTATCCTACAAAGAGGCTGCTTTCAACTACAAAAGTGGGCATCTAATAATCAAAACGTTTTGAACCATGTTCAGGCTACCAACCCAGAAGCTTTATTAAAGCTCGGCGATTACGAAGGTACTAAAACATTAGGTCTCTTTTGGGACTGCAAAGGTGATAATTTGACCTACAAAATCAAAATAAATCAATCAGATGGATCCGTATGTAAAAGGTCCATTTTATCAGA